GGCCGCCGGCGGGAGCCCCACCTCGGCGGAGCGACGGCCATGGCAAGTCCCTGCGGAGGGCGGCGGGAAGGGCCGGGAGGGGGGAGCGCTGCCGAACCGTGCCGGCGGGAGGGCCGCGTCCCTCCCAGGGGAAGGGCCGGGAGGTTTCGGGGAAAGGGCGGGGGCCGCTGCCGTGAGGCCGGGGGCGAGCCCGGGGCCTTCCCGCCTCCGGAGCCCTGACAACGGCGCTCCCGGGTCTTCCCGCCTCCGGAGCCCTGACAGCGGCGCTCCGGGGCCTGCGGCCTGGTCCCGCCAGGCGGGGTGGAAAGAGCGGCCTGTTCCTGCCCCGCTTGTTAAAAGCCTCAGGGGCTTGAAAATAACGGCGGCATGAAGGGAAGGGGTGAATCGTGGCGGGCCCATGCTGGGCTCCCGCACGGAAGAAATACTGGATGCTCGCACAACACCACCGTCCGCCGCGCCCTGCTGCCCCGGCCCTCCAGTTTGTGGTAGCTACAGCTCTGATTTCCCTCTCACTATATTAATATTTCCATTTATTTAATAACAGCAAGAACCGATGATTAATGGTTGGACAAGATCTTCACGATCTTTTCCAACCCAGATGACTCTCTGATGAGGTCCGTGGGTACGTCTTCATGCCCGTTCTCTTGTCAGCATTGATCCATGTAGCAGATTTGCCAAGAAACGTGAAAATGCTCGGGAGGATGCTGCGGTCCACAGCGACCATCGTTGCTGTGCTCCTCTCCCCGACCCGCCTGCACCTTCCGCAGCCCCATATTTCTCTCTGGCAGCAGCCACTGAACGCAGACGCGCCTGAGAAGTGATTCAGCGCAAACAAAGTGTATGTTCACGGGTTTTTTTTTTCTAACCCCAATAGTAGGCACGAGCGTTGCTCCAAAATACCAGCTGGCAAGGTGCGAGATGCCGTCTGGCAGCTGAGCACTCCCGCTCGTGCAGGGGCTGCATCGATGAGTGAAGCGTGAGAAAATCCTGCGTAAAGCGCTGTCAATCTTGGAAGCACCCTGTTTATATTCTCTTCATGTTGTCTCATTAGTGCAGAAACTTGCTTTCACACGAACGTTTACCGCCAAAATAATTGCCTAATATAATTAAAGCTCCTGGCTCTTTAAATTTGATGGGTGATAAAAGAAGGCCTCATGCCTTTATGAATTAAAAGCTTGCATGGCTGCACAGTCTCATTGAATCTGCCTCCCCGCTCCTTTCAGGAACGCCGAGGTGGTGGTCTGCAAGGCTTTCTGCAAGGCTTTGGAGGCATGTCAACGAGGCATTTGCCCCCCGGCAGCACATTCTGCAGGCTTTGTAACTGCTGTGCTGGCCCTAATGTTTTATGCAGGCCCAGAAGAAACTTTGTAAGAGAAGTCTAAAGAATGTAGATGGAGTGACTGACCTTGAGTACAGTCGCTCTGAAGTCATTGACAGGTCGTTCTCTTGAACGCTGCCATGCAAACATACTAAATTATTTTCTTTCTTCCAAAAAGTCAGTGAACTGTTACAAAATTTACTCAGTGTTCCACCTTTTGCAGTAATTTTGCCGTGATATTCCCAGTGAAATATTACTGTTTATGTCTGTGCAATAACAATGGAAAGAAAACAAGCTTTTCTTAACAAGTCGTGGATGCAAATCGTATTTAGGATGGGTTTCATGTTTGCAGCATTGGGAGGTTTGGCTTTGATGAAAATCATGTGTGTAGTTAGTTGTTTTATGCACTGCAAGTCTCAGATGACTGGGATTAAGTTCCAATTTAACAAGGTTATCCATTTAATAAGTGGAGAGAGATGAGTCAGGGCACAACCCTAGATCCCAGCTCTCATGAATTTAACAAGTAAGGACAGTGTGAATCTGACCCCTCCACTCTGAAGAGAATCCTTACTGAACGGTACATGCAATTAAAATTTTTCATTCTCTTCAAATTTTGAATGTTAGAATCGGAGGAAACAGCCTTATCGGTGTGACACTGGACCTTTCATGTGAGCAACTTAAATTTAGTTCTAATTTCCAGTGTTCTGAGAAAAAAAAAGATACTGAGAGAGTGTGAATTACACTTGAGAGGCCGCTTTCTACTGCACAGTAATGTGAAGGTGCCTGAGGGGGTCTGGCGTTCACTGAAATCTGATTCAGCAATCTGCTTAATTACCTACTCGGTGCTTGTGTTGTCTGTGCAAAAGGAAGGAGGGTCACTGCAGCGCTGAGGGTGAATGTGGGTAACCTGGGTAACCTCTCTGGGAGATCAGGTGCTCCGTGAGGTTACAGCGTGCCGTGTCTCTTATGTGCAGGCAACGGGACAGGTTGCTAAATGGGCAAGGACAGTTGTCATTGCTGGTGTTCCAGATGGCCTTCTGCACAACGACGTCATGGCCGACATCCTGACGATTCATTTCCAAATGTCGAAGAATAACGGTGGAGACGTGGAAGAAGTGGTGTATCCAACAAGGAAAAAAGGAATTGCATTTGTAACTTTTGAAGATCAAGAAGGTATAGGTATTTAGCTTACTGTACTATAAAAGAACTAGCCCTAACCCTAAAACTAATAGTTTTCAATTGCTTACTGATACTGGGATTTCATAGAACTGGGAGAGTAACACCTCTCCTTTAGTCAGTCAGAATTTTAGGATTTTATTTCTGTTGATTGAAGTCATGACTGAACAGGCTTTAGGCAAAGCATTTGTTATGTTTGTTTTTAGGAATAAATTTATACCGTGCATAACAGATAGAATTTTTGTAGTCAGGCTTTTGAGCATAAATCTGCCAGTTAATGTTATAAGAAGACGGGCTTCTGCCCCTCTCTGAACAATTTGAGTAATACAGAGTATTGGATTGCCTGTGCATATGTATGGGAAATTGTTAGGGAAAGCATCAAGAGAAAAACACCTGTGAAGAGTTCTGCTATCAGACTGGCAAGGAGGCGTTATCTTACTGCTCAACAAGTGAGTGTGGCTTTCTCTTCAGTTGTGGAGAATGTGCTAAAGAAGGATGAACATCGGCTAGAAGACAAGAGGCTGTCCAGATACTACCCGCTGAAAGTAACCCGGTACTGTGAAAATGTAAGCTCATTCATAGGTTATCTAGCTGTACTTCCATTGCTGCGTTAACCATTACTTAACTTTTCTAATTCAAAATTCTAGGTCTTCAGCTCTGTGACGTCTGTCCTCAATATGTCTGTTTTCAAAGATCAGTTTGTTTTAGAAGATCTGATACAAGAACTTAAAAAGAAGAGCACAGCTTTGAGCTTTGGGCCTTTGCAATCTAATGGGCACATTTCTGTTCAAGGGTCATTTCCAGCAATCAAATTGCTGAGAGACTTTCTCTTACTGAAAGCAAAATCCCTCTCAGAGGAGGACAAAAAGGAAGAAAGTCAGTCCCATCAGAGACCACGGAGGAGGCTACAGCAACACAGACTTACCACAGAGATGAGTAATTCCGTTCATGATGTGGATGGGGAAAAACAAGTTGTTATTCTTGACACAGATACATATCACTACATGAAGTACTTTTTTCCCAGGATATTCGTAGTAAATGGTGATGTTGTAATTTCTGACATCACTGACGGTGATATAACTACAGTGTATATTGAGAGTGCTGGAAGTAGGTCTGATGCTGGACAGGTATTAAGAGTCAAAAAGAAAATTGAAAATCAGTCTATAAAACTCCATAAAGTTTTACGTAAAGAAAAGATCTACCTTGAGGATCACAGCAGAGATGAAAGGCGGAGATATAAGTTGGCCTGTAAAAGTCTAAAGCCCCATTACCCTTCTGTTTTGATCATTCCTTATGATACTCACATTGACGTTATAGGAAATGCTCAGGAGATTTTTGATTTTACAAAGGAGGTGAGCAGTAAGGTTCAGAGCCTGTTGCAACGCAGGTAGAAAGTTAGTGTTTGTGGTGTATACACACTGTGCTTGACAGAGGGGGTGCGACCTGTGCACCGCTGGCTCACCGCAGATCTGTCACAGTTCTTCCACTGCAGGCTGGGCCGTCTGGACGCCAGGGTGAACAAGCCCATTCCCCCTGAATACCAAATTAAGTTCAGAATAGAAAACAAATGATCTCTGTATCTCTCGTGAGCTTAGAGACTAAAGAAGTTAAGCCTCTGTCTAGGTACAGCCTCCTTTTTCCTTTGGTTAGCCACATTTCGGGCACATGCACGATCATCTTGCTGTCAGGGACTGTATGAGGACAGAAATTTTTTTAAAGAGTTCTCATTAGCACAAGAAGTCAGACTGACCAAGCTGGGCGAGCCAACCTGATAGGAAATACTGCGTTGAAGCTGAGTTTTGTTGCTTTGTGCAAGGAGATGACCACTGAACAGGACTGGTGGCCTTTTTTCTGTTGCCTGTATCTGCAGAAGGAAGTTCTTACGGAGGTGCATGAAGGAGACGGAGCTTTGACACTTGAGGGGATGAAATGCTTATTGAATTTCCAGGCTTGTCATGTCCTGAGAAAGATCTTAGAAGATGGTATTGGAAGTTGTTGACAGTAGAAAATAAGTGAGTTTGTTTTCGTAGGAGCAATAACAGGTTTTTTTCCAGCTGTAACGGCATCAGCAGCATCCCTTGACAGCGTGTTATTTAGATGTGAAAGTATACCCAAAGTTTTGATGTGAAAATCTTGGAACATTTAGACTTTTGAATCAGATTCTGTTTATACAAATCTGTTTCTCTATCCACTACAAGGATCCAAATGCCCATCCTAGTTTAGACTTTTTATAAAACCAATTTAGAAAATAACCTTTATTTTGTGATATCAGTGCGTTCAGAATACTTTGTCAAAACATACAGAGCACCAGCTCATTTGTCTTATGTGCAGGAAAAGTTTAAAGGTTTTTTAATGCCATTAAAGAAATTAGTTATACAAAATATTGTGTCTGTGTTCTTTTAACCAGCCCCCAGACTTTTGGTTGGAAGCCCAAACCTAAAGCCTGAGAAATGCTTTAGGCATTTTCTTGTCATGAGTGATTATCCGTTGCAATTATGCCAATGAAAGATAAAGTAAGTTAAACTAGTGACAGTGCTGTGTGCTAAAATACACTGTCAGAGTGGGAAGATGATGAGCTTAAGTACTTTGCTGAATTGGAAGGGGGGAGTAGTAAGTATTTAAAGTATTAAGTCTTTAATCTCTTCCAAGTTCCCTTGTAGGTTCACCAAGGGGGCTGGAGAGGGGGGGGTGAAGACCAGCGCCCACAGTCAGGCCCTGGAAGAGCCCCTCTCTGCTGCCTGCAGGGCGCAGGCACCTCCAGCACTGGGCTGTTCGGGTGCTCCCCATAGGGCTTAAGCAACGATGGGAAGTTTTTCAACCTTGTAAGAGAGAAAATCCTCCATGAAGGATAATCCTTTAATGAAATTAGTGCTCTTTGCTAGTGTCCTGATCAGTCTTCCCTTCTCTTTCCTGATGAGCCTCATTTTTTTCTGACTCAGCATTAGTATTTCCTATTCACTTCATTAAATGTTAAGGGCTAGACTGCTAAACCAGTGTCACTGGTGTTAGTTTGAATTCTGACTGGTTACTACTGGCTAAGCATCGCTTTTTTTGAGCCGAGTTTGACAACAGAACAATTTACAGCGCTGGTACAGGTGTCATTCAGGCGTGGCAAGCAAGTTGTTTTTCCTGAACGATTTTCAGTCAAAAACTTGACGATCTTGAAAGCACGACATTTGAATAAAATGTTATTGTTGAATCCTGGTTCAGCTGTAACAGCTCCTCTTCCGATTCGCTCACGGAACTCCCCTTTGCCACCACGTCCTTGGCAATGCTTTTCTGCCGAGCGCTGGGGCCTTTCTCACCCGCCAGCCCGCGTGGTCTCATTGTTTCCTGGTGCTCTCCCATCTGCTCTCTCTCGTCTCATACCAAGGATGTCATTTCTTTAGACAAAAAGAGCTTTGCGTTGGTTGGTTTGTGTTTATGGAGTGCCTAGTAACTAGGGACCTAGGTGGATTAGTAAATAGTAGCTATTGTTACGCTCCTGGATTTCCAAGGCTACTTTTTCTTGTTGGATTTGCAGCAGCATTGGCCAGAAACACACCACCTTTGTCACTTTTGATGCTTCCTTGTAGCAGTGCAAGGGCAGGGCAGCGCAGGAACTTTACTAGTGGTAGTAGAGAGGCTGTGGCACGTATGGGCCTGTGATCGAGCTACCCTTAAGATTTAACCCCACAGAGGAACCTGGTTTCTGTAACAGAAAAAAAAACCTGTGATCCACCAGGATAGACTAGTGCTTGCTGTAAAATATAAACAGCATTTCAGCAGAATAACATCTGAAATTAAGCATGTATTTGTTCCTTTGTGATGCAGATACCATGGAAAATGAGGGATGCTTAACAAAAAAAGTCTGATTTTGTCATTGCCATGAATACTTAAATAAACACAACAAAACAAAATCAGTATTAGGTCTGGTAAGAGACTTGCCAGCTCATTCTCACAGTTATTTTTATGGCAAGCAAAGCACTGCTGTATCTATTAAACTCCACTTGACAAAGGCATTTAGTAGTTGTGTATATTGGAAAATATCTGGGAAACCAGATCAGATGTTATTCCTAGATCTAAACCATTGCTGCTGACTCAGGATTCTCAGCGTCAGGTTTGCACTTTTAATTTGAATAGAGAATTTGCTCATGGGACCTCAACAAAATATTTGTCCTTACTGCTGTGCCAACGCTTGCTGCCCTTCGCCAGAAGGGGATATGTAACAGTTCATGTTGTAAAAATACAAAGCCTAATTTTGACTTGAAGCATGAGTCCTACTGACAAAGCCTAAAAAAATAATAAAAAAGGTCACAAATAGAAGAATCTGAGCCCAGTTCCTGGCAGCACCCCACTACAGTCAGGGGGGTAAGGACCATTTGCTGTCACCTGAAATCCTGAGGATTTGAGAGGCAATTCGATGACCCTTGGCAGGAGAATATTGTACAGTTTGGAGGCAAAAGCAATCTCCTTGTTGACCAGAGGGGATGGGGGAGGTGGATGGAGGAGGAATGATTTACTGGAGTCCTTTTGCCATCACTGACACAAAGCGCTGCTTTGGTGCTGGGGAAAGAAGGACAAAGCCTCCCTCCCCATTGTACCTGCGCATCTAATTATGCAATGTAAAGAGATGGATTCCATTCCTGCAGGAAAGGGGGTTGTTCTGTGATGGAAAAAGCCCTTCCTGCAGGTTTAATTGTTGTCAAAACTGCCTCTTCCACCTTTGAGTTGCATTGAAACTTTCTCAGTGCATTTGTTAAAAAAGCACATACTACAAAAGACCTGTCACTTCTCCTGAAGGTTTGTGATGCCAGAGTGACATTTTCTTAAGGAAGAAGTACTTGCTACTTTTGGGAGCCGTGTGTCTTACTTTAAGAATGAGTTATTTGCTAGTAACGCTATTTATTTTCCCTACAAATTAAAAAAAAAAAAAATTTAAAGACAACTTTTAGGCTTATGTCTTCATCCAGCCACACTGGAGAATCAGAATAATAAAACCCAGATGAAAACAGACAATAGTCACCAGCTGAGAGTGGTCGGTGAGTCAGTACCTGCAGCCTGCTGGGGTCGGATGGAGATGTACTCCCACTAGGAGAGAGGAGATGAATTTAGCAGTTGGTGTATCCGGAGGAGCTGAGGCTCTCAGGAGGCTCCCAGAAACAAACACACATGTCCCTGTTTTCTTGCACATCTTGTGCGAAAGAAAAGCAGCTGTAGAGCCGGGCCAAGCTGACGCTGGGGAAATTCCTTCTCCGTTGCACAACATTTCTGTGGTGGCTTCTTCCCTCGCGTTTAGTGTGGCTGGTGGGTGTTTATGAGATACGTGGCTTCTATCCAGTTTCATTCACAATAACTCATTTCTTGTCCTTTGGGCTTCTACCCTCCAATCTGCTGCAGTTGCTGATAAAAGGACCTTTTCCATCCCTCTCGTGTAAGAGCATCGTAGATACTTGACCATTTTCACCTACCATTAGAGGATAGGAGCTTTCCCTGATTTCTGCAGCAGGCAGTTTGAAGATAACCAGACAACTTGGCTAAGAGAAAGAAAATAATGATTAATTTTAGTTATAATTAAAAAAAAAGAAAAATCGAGTCAAAACTGCACGGCAATTCAGAAGTGACAGAGCTTGGTCTGGTTGTACTTACTTTTTCCTTAGCTGCAGAACATCTGCTGGAGAACAAGTCCCTTTTTCTGCTTCGCCTAACACAGCTTTTCTTTGTCTCCTGACACCTATTAATGACCTTTAAAGAAATCTCCTAAAAGTAACTCGGTTAAGAAGAAATATTACCTCTAATGGCAACAACCACTGCTGCTGAAGCACTGCATTAAAGCCATTTTTTCATGGATTTTCCCACTTGTTACTGCTACCACCTTTGTAATAGGAGCAGTATGGATCAAGACTTGCTACAGAGAATACTTTACCAAAAAAGAAGCTGTATAAAATACTGGAAAAAACAAAGTTACAGGTGTGCAGGTGAAAAAATGTCATACTCATTGCTGACACCGTGGAGGGGGAAACCCATGTCATGCTGAGCACGGTCCGTACAGATGGAAGCTCTGCTGATGGACCAAATCGCGCAGGAGAAGGGTGGATTTCCTCCAAGGTGGAAGCTGTGGCTGACAGGCACAACTCATCCCTGGTGGAGCTATAAGCAGCAGGCTGGACGGAGTGCCTATGGAGCTGCACACCCTATTCCCCAGCCGTGCTCCAGAGCAGTTTGATGCTTCCTGTCAAGCTCAGGGATACCAGAATAGGGAGATGATCCATGTCGGGTCAGGTCGAGCCTAACAGCTACTGAGGTGCTCTGCTTCTGGGGCTGGACAGGAGGTGATGAGCAGGGGCCACCTCCTCCAGCGGGTTCCACCAGCCGGATTTTGTCCCATCCGACTTCTCCTGCCATAAACACGGGGAGCACAAGAGGGAGCCAGATGCTTTGGAGCTGGAATCCCAAAGTCTCTGCTGGGGTCCTGCCCGGCTGCACTCGGCGGAAGGAGGAGATGCCAGATGCAGGTCCTGCTCTGTGCCTAAGCTGAGCTCAGGCCACGTTTGCCTGGAGCAGATGTTGGGAGTGGTGCCTTCCAGTTTTTCATTGCTCACAAGGTGCTCTTACATCACCTTCTTTCAGGCAGATATAAAAACGGGTAAGGAAATCAAGCGCTTACTGATGTCACACTGAAGTTATGGATGGCTCAGCTGACCAAAATCCCGAGCACCACTGTAGCTTATCTCTTGTTAAACGCCCTTACTTCAGCCTACAGAGCCCTGAACCGGCCGAGGGCAACGTGGCACCACACGAGGCAGATCACCTTGGCATGACTGTGTTGAGGGATGACCACCCCGGTACCACCACCGTGAGACCAGAGGAAGTTACCAGGAGGAAGAAGAGGCAAAAGCCAGCGGTTCTGCTCCCTGGGGCTGGTGCTTCCCGCTGACCCCCGTCCCTCAGAGGTGAGGACCTGCTGTGGAAAGCTGTGCTTGGATCACAGCCTACCTGTACTGCTCCTGGGCTCCTCCAGATCTCACCAAGTACAAGGGTTTTGGAGGAGACACCACCAGCTCGAAGCCACCACTGCACTGAGGAATTTAACCCTTCCTGCCCAAAAGAATAACCCATCCCATCTCCCCTTGGTGGAGCTGGGACTGAAGTCAGTGGGCAGTGCTGGTATACAGCCATGGGTTTGATTTTCAATTAAGACACCCTTAAAAAAAATATTTAAAATCTTTACTTTCATTTTGGCATGGATTCTGACAAATTTTTCCTAGTATTCTAATAAAAGCAACATCTTTCCTTGGTGTTGCAAATAGATGTGCTCTTCCTGGCCTGCACACAGGGATTTGCTTTGCAGAAACTCACCGTTTTTACTGTCTGGGTGCTTCTGTTTATT